TATATATTATATTATAAATTGAGATTTATATTACCTCTGGCTGTGATTTTCTTCACAACTACCAATCCAAATTAGCTAAAATTTTTACCAAAGATAGAAGTGATATTGGGCTACAACTTATTACAATTTTAGCCAATTTGGATTAGTAGTTCTTGAAAAATTGCCTAAAAATATTAAGTAATTATATTAAAAAACTACTTATAGTTTTATTAAAATTATTAATTTATTAAAATTATTATTTTGTTTATCATAAAAATAAACTAATCTTTTGTTTCTAATTAACTTTTGAAGTTAATTTATAAAATTAGTATTGTGTATTGAGATAGGTTTTATGTTTTTTTTTACTTGAGTTTTATAAATTTTAGAATGATCTTAAAGTATTTAAGTTAATTAAACAAGTGAATTTTTGCTAGAATAAATAAGTTTTACTATATAATAAAATCATATCATTTTTGTTGTATCTCATATTATACAAACATGTTCTACAACCTTTACTATTTCATTTGGTCCTCAACTTGATATAAAAAGTTAATTTCAGAGTTTTTATTAAATAAAGAATTAATTTCTCCAAGTAGGTAATGATTTAATTAAGGAATCGGCAAGCAGCAGCACATATGAAATAATATGTTTGTAATAAAAAACAGTTTTTGTTTCTAATCTGGCACTTATACCCCAAAATATAACAGACATTCTTTACAACAAAATTTTTGTTATACATATATTTAAATAGTCTATATTTTTTTTTCTTATACTAAAAATCTTTGAAGTATCTTATTTTGAAATAGCACTTTAAGCTATGTATTAGTAAAATCAAATTGAAATTTAATCAGTTGACATAACCAATTTATAAGATTAAGAGCAAAGTTTTAAAATATTCAGAAAAGAGGTCTATATAGTAAGTGATAACTAACCAATCTAAATTGTATATACCTATCATGTGGCATAAGACAATGATAGTAAATGACTTAGTCATTTGCAAAATTTTCAAATGACTTCAAATGACCCGGTTATTACAATTTTGGGTCATTTGGAAATGACTAGTGATTAAGTAGCCATGGTCATTTAGAAATAGCTGGGATCATTTGAGGGTTATTTAGTTTATAGATTTCGAAATAGGCTGGGTTAGACTAGGTATTTGTATACTCAGACCCAAGCTCAATAAAATTTATATACCCGACCCAACCCAGGAATGGTAAATGATTCGGTCATTTGATCAAAATTTAAATAACCCCAAATCATCAAATCTAAAATCATCAAATCATAACAAGATCATTTGGGTTATTAAGTTCATTTAGATCATTTACTTATAAAATAATTTTATTGTTCGAATTGCTCATATAAAAAGTTATCAAACTTTATTATATTCCTAATCAATAATTGTAGCTATACATGTATTAAAGTTAAAATTTTACTAAGTCAATTAATATTTGAGTGCTATCAAGACAAAACCTGTAAGCAAATACTTGAGGTATCAATAAGGCAAGTTTAATCCTGAGAAAATTGTGATATTACATATTAAATCATTATATACAATTTGTATTCAATGATTAATACATAATATTTTTCCAGGATTAAACTCACCTTATTGATACCTCAAATATTTGCTTACAGGTTTTGTCTTGGCAGCATTCATTTATAAATTAAAAAACTTTTTATTAGCTTTGTATAAATGTAAAGTGTGAAAGTGAATTAATAAAAGTTCTTCAGTTTATATAAGCTAAAGGGCAATAGAATATCAATTAACATATATTAAATGATCTTCTAAGTCATTTGGGTCATTTCAGGTTATTTACCATTACTGGTAACTATAATTCCTAGGACACTTGATAAAAAATTAGCCGAATGATTTTTCAACCGATCCGGTTAAGTTATAATAAATTGATATAATATGTATAATTTAAAATCAAGTAACTAATATACAGCAAGATTATGGTATCTTTTTTGTTGAATTCAAAAAATATAAAATATTAAAAAAATTTAAAAAGCCTATCAATTCAAAAAATTGCAAAGCTATTAGGTGTTAGTAGATTTTCTATAAGTTGGGTATTTGTGCATTTTCAAAGATATTGCTGTATTGAAAAGCTTCTGTCGTTTCAAGAAAACCACGTTCTCTAAATGTGATATAAAATATCTTAAAGGTAGAGTGTATGTAGATCATTTTTCATATAATCACCATGATAGTATATAAAAATTTTACAATATGTAATTTAAAATAGTTTATTTGTAATAGTAAAGTTATAAAATATAAATTGGTTTAAAAAAAATTAATTTTCTATATAACTATATTTGCCTAGATCACTATATGTTTTTCCTAGGTGGTACAAAGATTTGATAATTCTGATTGGTCAAATCATATAATATTTACATGTAAATCATATGACATCATATGATATTGGTTACACAATGTTGATCTACAATCTACTTTATATGAATTAGGAAATATTTACACCCTACCTTTAAAACTTTACGAAAGAAAAACCTGACTAATACTTGTATGAATTACAATCCGAGATGGAACTTTTTTGTTGGGCTATATACCGACTTGGATATACACATAAAAGGTAATATTTCGTATATTTATACATATTTTTTTATTTTATAAATTTATAACAATTTTATTCTATAGATTTCAAAGAAATAAATGAAGTTGATAGAAACAATTTCATTTTACGAATCTCAGTATACACTAAGTGAGTAGTTTCTGGGTAGTCACATCATAAATTACTAGCCACATAAGCCACTTAGAGTTAATATTGGACTCACGCGACTACCGGCTTTAGACGATTGCATTAAGAAGGTTCTATGAATTCTATTGATTATGAAAATTTTATTGAAAATGTTTTACGTACGTAGTAAGAATTTTATTACATAAATATGATATTAATATGTTTAATATCAATTAAATATGAGAGATAACTTTTTCTGTAATTTAATTTGTGACGTAGATATCATAGTTATTAAGAATTACGTATATCAATATCAATATTAAAAATTGGACCTGATTCAAAAAATATATTTTTTATATATCGATTATGCCGAAATCAATAACTTGATTGAAAATTTATGCGATTAAATTTTATCAGGTGTCTCTGGAATGATGAAAACAGCCGTAAAAAAAAAAAAAAAAAGTAATAAATACATATACGTTAGTTAATAAACATGTACTTAAAAAAAGAATAATAGTAATGTTTCTTATTGTTTAAGGGTCACTTTTTTATGTAAGAAGCACACGGTGGAAGTTTTCATACAAAAAAGAAATTTTATGAAATAAAAGATATCGTTGTGGCTGATTACAGTAACGCGCCATCAACTGTAATTTTGTATGATTGTGTAACTTAAAAAGAAATATAATTTTAATACAGTATATATATATGAGACTAAACGTCACGTGAAATGCAAAATAGTCCGAGTATTTACAAATACTTTATCAAAATAATAAAAACAAAAAAACTAACGCAAAGTACAAATAAATTAAAAGGTTTATATCTCTTTTTCATCGGTGGGTTGGTTTTGAAAAATTTGAAAAACTTCATAATCATCTAAATCAAATTCTTGAGAATCGATTATATTTTTTTCGTAATACGAATTTCTACACGAACATCCTTTAGATAAGTTATTATAATTTGACATCCATAAATCTCTATCACCGAAACATGGACCACGAACATCGGCACTAAATATTGCCATTCTTGAATGATTTTTTTTAATTCTACTTAATTTTGAATTTTTTAAATTTTCACTTTCAACACCCAAAGAAAAAATAAAACTATCCATTGATTTAACCCAATTACCAAAGAAGCCACCTTTCCAATTTTCAGGATTATAACCACCAATTATTTCTCCAGTGCCAGCAACTTTCATAATTACGACGGTTGAACCTTTATCTTTGCAAAGTTCGTGGAATTTTCGAGCACTGAATCCATCACGACTGCCACGTAATAAAAGGTTAAACGAATGAGATGGAGACTTTCTATACAAACGAGTTTGTTCAGGATCTTCAACACGATCAATCCAATTTGAAATAACAGTTGCATGTTTAAATTTGATAAGGTTTGAATCGAATAAATTATCTGAAATTATATTTTGATCAACTGTTAGTGAAACAGTATTATAAGAAATTTGTGGTATAATTCGATTAAATAAGCTTAATATAGGAGACATTTTGTTTGGGTTTATATGGTTAAACTTGATAAGTGGTATACAATTTTTTAAGGTGGATTGTAACACCTGAAAATCAGCATCAGACCATTTAGAAATATCAGATTTAAGTTTTGGAGATCTTGCAATAGCCCATTGAATTAAATAATCCCATAAATCTAATTCATCCATTTGAAGGTCATCACGTTTAAGGATTGAAATTAGAACAGATTCATCAATAGCAGAAAAAGCTGCAGTTCCAAATACCGAAGAAGGGTTTTCACAAATAATTTCTAGGCATATATCTTGAAGTTCTTTACAAGAATGAAAAGCGGTGTGATATAGAATTTGAAGGGAATGCTGACGGATCCATTGGTCATGATGTGTTAGAAGATGATCTTTCAAATAATTTACAAGTTCAGTGAGAATCAATTCATCCGCAGCGGCTATGAGATCTATTATACGTGTTGGATTTTGATTTTCGAGACAAATGGTACCAGAATATAAATATCTATTTGAATATGTGAATATGTGAATATATGAATATATGAATATATGAATATATGAATATATGAAGAGAGAAACAAAAATTTAAATGAGAAATAACAAATATTGTAAAAAAAAGACGCGTAGTAAGTAAAAAACTTAATTTTATTTACTTTAATATCATTTGAAACGCTTCAGGGGAGATATTAGACTTTTCGAACACGATAAAGTTTCCATCAGTCTTAACCCAGTCACTAGACAAAGCTGAATGAAAGTAAGTTGATCTGGCACGTAATACACAGGAGTGAGCTTTAAAGTGTAAGATATTTGGCGATTTTCCAACTTTAATGATGACATTATAGTCTTCAACATTAAAGAGTAATTTAGCAAAATCATTTGATAATGACTTCAAAAATTCAACAGACATTTTTGCGAAAAAAAAAAATTTAGATCGAAAATTGCCGTTAGAAATTACTATTTATATATTATTCGATTGTGGTGGGTATATATGCTTATCAATAAAAAATAATACTATAAAAAGAAAAAACCCTTTGATTGTGTAACTTAAAAAATCTAATAGATCATAAATGTCGTATGCGCAGTATTTCTAAACATTTGAAAAAATGTGATTAGAGTCGTGAGAGGAAGGAGTTTTCTTTTGGAGATATACACTTGACATAAGATTTCAACAAGCATGAAATTTAAAAGTAAATTAACTTTTCTCTTTAGAATAACGAGAATTAAACAGCATAAAAAGTTCCACTCTAAAAGTTGATTACGTTTGAATATATGCTGCATATAAACAGCGGGGATCCAACAAAGCTAGATTTGGTTAAAGATTTATAAGCATGGGATCCATTAGTTTCGAACTAGTCAATTTCGGAAGAGAAAAGCACGATATATAAAGGGTGCATATTAAAAGAAGGCATCACAAGGTGATCACCCCGCAATTTATAATTAAACAGATTTTACGCAATATTTATCCATTCAAGGAAAGAAAATTACTATGCACACGAAATCTTGAGGCTTAGAAAATGCATGCGATGTAAAATTTTGTGTAAACTTGTTGGATATGACTAATAGTTAGAAATGCTATGATATTTTTGGTGCAAGGGCTTTTTTTAATAATGTTATATATGTTTAGATCTTTGTAGTTGGTCACAAAATGAAAAAAAAACTTACTTAAATACTTTATTTTAGTATTTGTGGGGTTTAAAGAATAACACATTTCGGAGAATTTCTTAATCGAAAATTCTCACATATTAATTACGTCAGATATTATAGAAAGAAATTCTTGATGGAAAAGAAATTCTTAATTCTCAAAACACATTCATTGGAAAATGAAATAACAGATAACCTACTGACACAGTACTGTACGTATGTACTTACGTATAAATTCTTTTACATATCAGATATCTGATATTTGAGTTGTTCCCCAACAAAATAAATCAAGTTTGATAAGTTTAGAAACAGACCCCTGAAACATATCACGTCATCTTTTATCGTATATACGTATAAATACATTTCATTAATTATATTAATTATGCAGACTTTTTTCTCTTTTTTAAATATGTTACTTGATTTTCTAATCATTAGCGTTAGTGCTATACAAGCTAGAACAAGTGTTATACAGGCTAGTACCGTTTAGCACTGCTTATAGTATCTCATAAAATAATATCCCATGATTAGGGCTCGGATGCGAACCGCAGGAACTTTATTAATCAAATACAGGTTTTTTTTTAAAAAAATCTAGACCCCTTATTACAGTATTAGTTATTATAAACGTAAGTGTGTATATGCACTTTATATATCAAGGTACTAGTAGTTAATTTGAAAAATAAAAATTTTAAATAAGATTCTGGATATAAAAACGGTCCTAAACAGTATTTAACATGATTATATATATATTTATATAAGTTTAGCAAGATTTATATATAATACAAATTTAAAAATCAATTATTATCGTATAATTAATAATAGTGATTTGAACAGAAAATTTCTTTACAGCCTGAGACATGATTTTTAAATATATTTTTGAATCAGGTCCAATTTTTAATACGTATTACGTAATTCTTAATAACTATGGCAATTCTTGAATGTGTGCTAGGTTGATGGCGCATTACCTAGCCACAATGATCTCTTTTATTTCAGTATATACAGCATACATAAAATTCCTTTTTCAATGAAACCTTCCATCATATGTTTCGTCAACCGTCCTGTACTTTGAATGTTTTCTATATTTCTTTTGTGAATTGAAGATATAACAGAAATAATATAATTTTTAAAATTTTTAGTTCGTTCATTATAAAAAGGTACCATTATAATAAACAAACTTAAGATGTAAGTAGAGTACAGTATAACCTCGATATAACGAAGCTCTGGAGTAGAAACCTTTATTAGTAGTTTCGTTATATCGGGGCTAATTTAAACATAAAAATTAGAAATAATCTTTATTATTGTTATCATTGGAATTTTTTAATTGGCTCGGATTTATTAATGCGCCACCAACCTGGCACACATTCAAAGAATTGCATAACTATGATATCTACGTCAAATTAAATTACAGATTTCAAAAATTATCTCCCATATTTAATTGATATTTACGTAATAAAATTCTTAAAACATGTTTAATAAAATTTTCATAATCAATACGTAGAATTTATAGAACCTTCTTGATAAAAGTGCATTGGGTTCTGCATATCCTAATTAATCAAAACTATGTCAGGTACCTTATTGGTAGTGTCTATGCAAGGTGATACAAAAGTTACGTTTTTGATGCATTTTGGCCAAAAAACGTATCTTTTCTGATGCATCTTTGTACACTTATAAAAATTGTATCAAAAGTGCAACTTTGAAATTTTTTGTCTGTCCGCACGCGTGTCACATAATTAAAAAAAAACATACCTATCATATCGTAGAGTTACCTTCTAAAACAGTAGATTGATAAAACCTGTTTTGTTATTAATTACGTTTGTACAAACTACATTGATCCATTAAACTTCGTTCCTTTCTAATAATTATTCGCACATTTTTCTTAATCTAACACCATAATGCTCCAAACTCTCAAACACTATTTCCGGGTACAGATCGAGCTAGCCAGGGTTTTTTGCTTGTATTTTGGTATGTAATGCAGCGATCTCTGGTAACAAAAAGATTTAAACTCTGATCTTATTAAAAAAATACAAAAATTATATATCGCACCTGTGGTGTTTAACACCACAATAATTTTTGTTTATGAGCTGCAGTGTAATATATAAATCAAAATAATTTTTATCAAAACAAAAATTAAATTTTGATTAAGATTAGGGTTAGAGTTAAAAGCTGGATAGGGTGGGTTCTTAGTTTATACCAAAATTTTATAAGGAATTTTTTTTTTGTTAGAAATCAAAAGGTAGTTCTATAGGTAAAATTTTAAGCTATACCTATTTTTTGTAAAAAGACAAAATTCTATATTACACCTAATCTTTATGTTACACTGCAGCTTATAATAAAAATTATTGTGGTGTTAAACACCAGTGGTATAATTTAACAATGCTAAAAAAATATATTTATTAAAATACAATTTGGTTTGTTTTAAATTTTTATTTTAGGCTTATTTGATCTTGGCAAAGATTGTTATATTACACTAAACTTAAATTACCAATTAAGTATACAATTAAACTCATTTAGTTGGTTTATTAATTATCATTAATTAATGGATATGATTTAGGCATACTACCGGTAGTACATTGTACTACATTGTGACACTTTTCAAAGGCGATTATCTAGTAATTTTAAAATTATAATTGTATTTTTAACAACTTTATATAGTTTGTTAGGTACTTAACTTTGTAGAGCAAAACATTTAATAAGTCTAAATAGTGTTTCTGATTTTTTAGAATTTTT